AGTGTTCTGAGGGTGAATGTTTAAAATATTAGAAGGTTAAGGGTGTACCTTGTGGTTCTTAATTAACATTACTGTGTATACTAGTGGTAACTTATAATAGTCCACCAGAAATACAACTTGTTAAAATAAGTAAACTATATGTTTGTCCATCCGTTTACCCACATGTGATGTGTACTTCAATTGGAGAACAAAAGTACATCAATATTACTTTGACCTCCCATTTTCATATTAAAATTTTTGTTTTTTGTTTTTTTTTTTGTTTGTTTGTTTGTTTTTTGTTTGTTTGTTTTTGAGACAGGGTTATCTCTGTGTAGTAGTAGCCCTGGCTGTCCTGTAACTCACTCTGTAGACCAGGCTGGCCTCGAACTCCCAAGTGCTGGGATTAAAGGTGTATGCCACCACTGTCTGGACTCATTAAAATTTTTAAGAGAAAATATTTATAAAGTTGGTTACATCCAAAGGCATATGTGGAGAATTATATATAAAAACAAAACCTCCCAGGTATGATAGCTCATACCTATAATTCCAGTGCATGAGAAGCAGATGCAGTAGAGTTGCTGGTAGCTAAGGCAAGACAAGTCTCAAAAACGAAAAGAAAAGAAAGAAAAAAGCCAGACCTGGTGGCTCATGCCTTGTGATCGATCCCATCACTTACCAGGCTGAGGCAGGAGCGTTGCTGGGAGGTTGAGGCCAGCCTGGGCTACCTTGTTCCAGGATAGACTAAACTACAAAATGAGATCCTGTCTGAAAAACAAAACAAATAGCAAAACCTGTCACTGGAAAAACATTTTGCTGCAAGAATAACAGAATAATCTTACTACCTAAATATTTGAAGGGGGTCTATCAACACACGACTAACAACTAGTAGAAAGACAGGAACAATTCTTACGAAAAACAATTCTATAGCTTTTTTTTTTGGGGGGGGGGGCTGGTTGGAGTTCCTTCTGTAACTGAGGAGGGCCTTAAACTCCTAATTTTCCTTCTTCCACCTTTTGAGTGCTGAGATACAGTCATACTATCAGGCACAGCCTTTTAATGACATAACTTTACATTTTTTAACATTCATGTTATGTGTGTCACACACCATGGTGTACATATAGAAATTAGCACAATTTGCAAGAATCTATTTTTTCCTTCCAAAGTTTTCTTTCTTCCTTGGATAGAGCTTGGTTGGTCAAGCTTTGTTGTATGCAGTGTTATTTGCTAAATCACATTGCAGGTTCATCCTTTGTATTATGTTAAAGTTTTATTCCTTTATTTAGAGATAAAAGGGCTTACTTTTTAGCCCATTTTGACCTGAAAGTCACTATGTAACAATTGCTGGTGTTGAAATTGTATCAGTCCTCCTACCTCAGCTCTTCAGTGGTGAGATCCTTTTTAATTTTCATTCATCGTTGTTGTTATACATAATGGGTTATTTTTATTTAATGTGTATGTGCATAGATGTCTCTGTGGCACATGTATGTAAATATATGTGAAGATGTCTAATTCCCTGGAGAATAATTAGATTATAGACGGGTGCTAGTTATATAAGCAAACACATATAAATATGTTACATATTCTGTGTGAACAATGACATATAATAAATTAGAAAGTGCTAATAGAGGGTGATTTAAGTATGGGCTATAGGGGAGGAATCAGTGATTTTCTTTCTCAATTTGGACAGTTGAATAGACATTTATTGAGATGGAAGGTAACATTTTCTGGGTGGGGTGGGGATATTTAGGAGTAAGCTTTTTAAATGGTTAAATTTGGATACTTTTTAGCATCAAAATAGAGCTATAAGGAGACAGCTGGCCATGTGAATTATCTTAGTTTGTTTTCCATTGATAAAGACCATGGACAAGATTAACTTGAGGAGAACAGGGATTATTTCGGTTTACATGTCCAGTCATAGTCCATCATGAAGGGAAGTCAGTTCAGGCGCTGAAGGCAAGAACCTGGAGACAGAGACTGTGGAGGAATGCTGTTTACTGGCTTGTTCTCCTTGGCTTTCTTAGTCTGCTTTCTTGTACAGTCCCCCAGTGGGTTGGATGCTTTGCCATTTGTAATTAATCAAGAAAGTGCTCCAGAGACTTGCTTATAGGTCAGTCTTATGAACACATTTTCTCAATTGAGATTCCTCTTCTTAGATGGCTCAAAGTTGTGTCATGTTGACAAACTAATCAAGACATGAATCTAAGTTCAGCAGTTTAATACAGAGAAACATCAGACTCTTCAGTGTATTTAAAGGCATGAGGCTAAGATCAGTTTGTCTAGTAAGGAAAGCTATTCCACACCATTTCCTTAAGCATTGGTGAGATCCCTGAGGAAAATGCGAGCAGCAGAGATGAAAGAAATCGGTCATAGAAGATTTGGGGGAGTGGAGAGGTGGCTGAGTGACTAAGAGCTGGCTGCTCTTCAGTACCAGGTTTGACTCCCCGCACCCATTGGAGGTTCACAACCATCTCTAACTCTAGATCTGGCACCCTCTGCTGGCTTCTGCAGGCACCACACATGTACATGGTACAGAGACACACATGCTGGTAAAACACTCATACATGTTAAATAAATATTACAATTATAAAAAGGGAGTGTGAATATTGTAATTCAGAGAGAAGTAACTAAGAATGAGGGAAGGCACAAATATAGATGGGGATGTGGTGTGATTTTGCATGGATACTCTGATTTCCTTACTGGAGTGAGTCATGAGTGTCTGCTGAGGACTGAGAAGTGAGAGATTAAGGGGTGTGGTCAGGCTTTTTGTTGGTTTCAGTTTTTTTGAGACAAGGTCTCACAGTATAGCCTGGGCTGTCCTGGAACTCATTCTGTAGACCAAGGATGGCCTTGAACTCACAAAGATACACCTGTCTCTGCCTCCTGAGTGCAGGGATGAAAGGTGTGCACCACCATACCTACATATCAGGCTTTGGAAGTTTGAGGATATACGTCATCTGAAGAAGGAGACTAAGGGAGGTGTCTATTTATTCAGTTCTTAAATGCTGCTTTCTAGTTTTCCCCAAGTTATTTTAGTACTGGCCTTCTTTTCACGTCCTTCCTGAGTGATGCACTTTTTGATTATATTAATATCTTCTAAGTGAAACATGAGAAGCTGCTAGTCCATGAAAGTTTACTAATTGTTGTTGTAATTTAGAATATGATTAACTATTTTTGTTTGGGAGAAGTGTGTTTGGTTTTTTGTTTGTTTTGTTTTTGTATTTTGAAACTATTTTGTTTGTAATCTTAAAGTATTAAAGCCACTTGAAATCATTGCACCAATCATCTTGCTTTTACCTGTCCCTGTGAGGCTGGGGTAAGGATGGTGACCAGCAGTAGAACACTGGCTTAGAACGTGTGATGCTTTTGTTTTGATCAAACAAACAAGAAACACACTAGTTAGATATTTTTTTCTTTAAAGGCCCCAAATAGGGCTGGAGAGACAGCTCAGCTGCTAAAGGCTAGGCTCCCAACAACAACAGAAAAGGCTCCAAATCTGTCCACTTGGTATTCTGAAAACATGATCCTCGGCTGCTTCAGCTTTGGTTACAGAAACTGATTTTTGAAGCAGGCATCAGTAACTGCAGACACTCAGTTTCTCAGAACACTGAAAACAACTGTTTAATGATCCCTCCAAAACTCAGGGAACATTGTAGAAACAAAGATAGAAAGAACATAAGAGTCATAGGTTGTGGCAGAGTGTTAGGCAATATAGTCTTCTAGATGTGACATGGCTATGATTACCTATATAAGTCCTACACATGATGGGACCCATCAGCATCTCATCATGGACTGCGAGGTACTCATGATCTCCCATTAATGGTTATTGGAGGAGGGAGAGATGTTTTCTTCAGTGGCATAACTCTGGTAAGGTGCCCATACTCCTATAAATAAGTAGCCTCTTACTTATAATGAAACTCATTGGATCACCAAAAAAAAAAAAAAAAAAAGTCATGAAATGAAGTAGGGAAGTAGGACTTCAAGAAAGACCAGGTGAATATGGTCAAATACATTAGATATGCATATAAGAAAACGGCAAGCCAAGTGTTGGTGGCGCATGCTTTTAATCCCATCACTTGGGAGGCAGAGGCAGGCGGATCTCTGTAAGTTCAAGGCCAGCCTGGTCTACAGAGCGAGTTCCAGGACAGGCTCCAAACCCTGTCTCTAAAAACAAACCAAAAAATAATGAAAAGCATACAGGAAATCATTATGTGTAGTTCATATACACTAATAATACCATAAGTTTTATCGTGAATATACTATAATTTTGAATACTTTATGTTCACATTGTACTTCATACATTTCTATATTCTTTATGTGTAATAAAGGTCTGTTTGGTTTTGTGTATTGTGATTTTTTTTTCCCATTGGAAAACAAATACACAACATAGAATGGATTTGAGGCAAACATACCACAAACAGATTTATTTACTTACTTAGTTACTTTCGAGACGAGGTTTCTGTATGTAGTCCTGGCTGTTCTGAAACTCACAATACAGATCAGGCTAGCCTCTGTCTTCTAAGTACTGGGATTAAAGGTGTGTGTATCACTACTGCCTAGCTATGTTTTTTGTTTTGTTTTTTGTTTGTTTTTGTGGCTATGTTTAAAAAGCAAGTGACAAAAGAAAATGTTTCTGATACAATAGCAACATCACAAAAAATGTTGTAAAGTATCTGGATAAAACACGTTTCATGATGTTGTTAAGTAGACAAACTATTTTATAAAATTCCTGTAAAATATAAATAAGATGATTTAACAGAACTGACTATATTCATTTCAACAAAGAGGTTAGTATGTATTTTCAGTTAAAACTTCTTGGTTTTGTTGTTTGTTTGTTTGTTTTGTTTTGTTTTGTTTCTTTGATTTTTGGGGGGCCAGGGTTTCTCTGTATCCCTGGCTGTCCTGGAACTCAGATCTGCCCCCTCACCCTCCCAGGTACCCCAGGTACAGAATGTATCTAACATAAATTAGCAGAAGTCAGCTTGATACTGCAGAGCACTGACTCCCAGTTTTATTCCTTCCAGGTAACATCTCACTTGTTGCATTCCCAGTTTCCAGTACCAACTCACCAACAAAGAGTTTACCGAAGACCTTAGGGCCCATAAATGTGAATGTTGGACCCCAAATGGTAAGAAAACCGTCAAATCTTTTTATTGACACTTTGCTTAGGCAAGACTAATTTATAGAATAATTATGCTGAAGATGTTTGGCAAAATATTTCCTTTAATTTTAGTTACTCCATTTACTCTATGTAAAAGTTTTATTTTTACCTAAGTATAATTGATTAAATATTAATAGAAGTTTTTGTGCTCTTAATGTTTAATTTTAACATATTCAATATATGGGTTCTAAATGTGTATTGATAATGCTCTTTCTCCCTTTATGCGGCTTCTCTTGTGTTATTAACTTGAAATCTATTGTATTCTATCTGTCTTCTGTTTTCATTTTCTTATAAAATAATCTTTGTGGAAACCATGTGTTCTTACATAAATTGAATGTGTAGCCCAATTTGTAGTTGTATGCTGCTACAATTAAGTTTAATTTATAGCTAGAGCTATAGATTTGAATTTTTTTCTATTAAAAGATTATTGTAGATCCACTCATGCTTGAACTTGCATTGGGGGGACATAGATAGGCAGGAGGATCACCACAAGTTCCAGGACACCTAGTGCGTTCCAAGTAGTCCAGGGAACTGTATAGTACAACCCTGTCTGTAAAGACAGAGGGACATGGCAAGAGGGGAGGGAGCAGATACAGGAGAAGGGTGGGGGATACATAGCTGGGGAAGCAACAGTATGCCATTTAATTCTTAACCCTAAAAATACTGGAGGAAAATAAATGTGTGTTTCTCTAAAGGCATTCTTTAATTCTGCTAGGCTTTGAAATATATAGCACTCTCAGTGATTATATGTCCTGCCTCTCCTATTGACTCTTACACAGCTATCGGGAAAGGCGGAATAAGAGGAGTATGTGTTTGAGGGTCTTGGCAATCCGTGCCTGGCACTGCCTTAAATTCTGGGAGCATATTCCTTAGTCTTTGTGTGTATGGATCTAAGGTACCTCTATGCAATGCAGGCATAATAGTCACACCTTCAGAGGGTGCAGATAGCAACACCTTGGGGGCAGTGTCCCTGAGTCCATCTCCACTAGGCTACAGAACGCTGCTGATTCTACCTAGATTTCAAAGAACTCCTCAGGGAGCCTCAGGGACCAGGTAGATAACTATTATAGGGTTATGGCCACTCTAGAGAGACCTCATTAGAATGCTTAAGGGAATGGTGTCATCATCCTCAGCAACCTGATTGGTTTCCCTGGGATTTTAAGGCTTTAACTTGGGCTAACCCTCAATTTGTGACTTCCACACTGAAAAGAATTTCAGGACTAACCAGTCTATGAAGGAGAATTGGAGATTTTTACTAAAGATACTGTATTTTAATTTAATTTTATGTGAATGGGTGTTTCCCCTGCATGTCTGTGTTGCATTGTGTTTAAGCATTGCTTGTGCAAGTCAGAAGAGGCTATGAGAGCTCCAAAAAGTACATTAACAGGTTGTTGTGAGTGACCTGAGTTCTGGAAGAGCAGCAAATGCTCTTAACCAGTCTTCTCTCCATCCCCATTATTAAAGAGATTTTAAGATGGGTGTATGCATTGGAGTTAGGAAAGATGCTCGGAATAAAGCAAGGCATACTGGAGACTATGGCTTTAGGATTGTGGGGGGGGGGGCAGAGAGAGAGAAAATTTGTTGATTCCCTACAGCCTGCTATTATAGCCAGAACTCTTTGTTTCCTGTATCATAGTGAGCAGTAAATTTCTGGGTTTTTTCTAATAAATTAATTAGTGTGAAGTCTTGTTATGTAGCCTGAATGGACTAACACCCAGTTTCAGTCATCCCTTCTCCCTTACTTCATTAATAAGTTATCAAAGCTGGCCTTGAACTTGGAATCCTCTTGCCTTAGCCTCTCAAGTACTGGAGTTACAGGCTTCTTCTGTGTTCTTTGATGCGTTTGTCACTTAATTTTCTTTTGATTAATTTATTTGAATTGGAGGGCTGGAGCAATGACTCAGTAGTTTAGATCACTGGCTGCTCTTCCAGAGGAACAGAGTTCAGTTCCTAACATCTGCATGGCAGTGCTCAACCATACTTCCAGGGAATCTGAAGTCTTCTTCTGGCTTCCAAGGGTACCAGGAATGCAAGTGGTCCAAAGCCATAGAGGCAAGCAAACACCCATATACATTAAATAACCAAATGAAGTAGTAAATACATAAATTGTATTTCTTGAGACAGAGTCTCATTATGTAACCCTGGCAAGTCTGGATCTCTATACCAGACTTCCCTCAAACTTTCAGAGATTCACCTGGGATTAAAAACATACATTGGTGAGAGTAGTGTGCAGGAGTCAGTTCTGCCATGTGGATCCCAGGGGTTGGGTCTCTCCTTTCCACCATGTGAGTTCTGAGAATGGATCTTAGATCACAGGTGGGCAGTATCTGCCTTCTGAGCAGTCTTATTAGTTCCTTGCCTGAAATTTCTACCTTCAGTTAAGATTAGGCTTCCAAGAGCTTTTCCCTTTTGAGCTCTTGAAAAGTGACTTCTGCCCTCCTCCTAAGTGCTATGATGCTCTCCCACTCCTTCCCTCCCTCCCTCTCTCTCTTTCTCTCCCCTCTCTCTTTCACACGCAAATAAATGTAAAAGCTCTTAGGAAAAGAATTTTTCTTGGTTGTGAAAATAATAGTTGTGTTTGTCTGTGAGCATATATGTGAATGTGTGTGGTATATATGAGCGGCTCTGGTGAAGGCTACTTTATCTCAGAAGAATGGAGCTGTACATACAGTGAAAACAGCCCTTGATAATTAGGAAAATTCCTCTTCAGAATAAATATGCTCTCAGCTTTTCTAACTGTAGAGGGCAGTAGTAGTACAGACATGTTTTTGAGGGAAGCCAGTCTTTGTGTTTAGTTACTATTGATTTTCCTAATGTAACTAATTACTTATCCTAGAAATGACAGACAAGATTAAATTAAAGATATTTGATGTTTGGGAGTGTTTGATTCTAAGATTTAAGATGCCTTTTCCTTCTCTTAGCTGAATGTTAGAAGTATGTTTACACTTAATTTCATATGTATACATGTCTGTCCACTAGTCAGTGTGCACATGTGGAGATCAGAAAACTCCAGGAGTTCTACCATGTGGGTTCCAGGGTTTACACTCACTTAGTTTTGTCTTCAGGGTTGGTGCAACTGTCTCTACTGGCTGAACCATCTCATGACCCTGTTGTTTCTTTTAAGACAAGGTATCCTGTAGTCCAGGCTAGCATAAAACTCTGATCCTCTTGCCTCCACCTCACAGGTATCCAGCTCTTTAATGCCTTCTTAAACTGTTTTTATCTTCAGATGGAATTTTTCAGACATCTGTCAGATTACAGTCTCTTATTTTGTAATTATAAAATCAGCTTGATAAAAATTACTTGAAATTCTGGTCCTCCAGCTACCCTCTTCCAACAGGCATGAACCTTCTCATCCAGCTTGTGTGGTCCTGGGAACCAGGCATCAAACCCAAAAGTTCATGAATGCTAAGCAAGCTCTCTATGTAAATTGAGCTACACCCTTGTCCCATTTTATGTATGTATGTATGTATGTATACATTTAGTTTTTTGATACAGGGTCTCACTATGTAATCTAGAATAGATTTGATTTGCTATGTAGATAGACCAGGCTGCCCTTGAATTTGTGATAATCCTCTTGTATTTACCTCTCAAGTGCTGGGGTGATAGATATGCGCCACCATGCTTGACCAGGATACTTTATATAATAGTACAGGGTAAAGTTGGGACAGGGAAAAATGAAGATAGAATTACATTTGTCCATGCATAACACAAATCTCACCCCAAAGGAAATGAGAGAATTCATTTTGAGACAAATAAGAGTGGCCCATGGCCTAAGAACACAGATTTAAGTTCTTCTAAATGACATGTTCCCCTGTGGAAGTGGTTCCATGGAAAGTACTGAAGGTCTCAGATGCTGTTTGATGATATTCTTAGCTTTTGGCTTAGTGATAGCTAGTGGTCTGCCAAGTTGATATATTTCCAAAGGGATGTTCAGCCAGATACAGAGGTTGATGATAAGTGACTGTTAGAGGAACTAAAGATTTCAAAGAGTTCAAATCAGTCTACAGAATGTAGCTGTGGCTTTTTCAGGGAACTGAATTTCTGCATCCTGTAACAATCAGGTTGTATAGTGGTTTGGGATGTATATTGGGTTCTGAAGATCAGACTCACTGCTATCCTGGGCCACATAAATCAGAATCTAATATAGTTTTGTTGTTGTTTTTGTTTTTTTTGTTTTGTTTTGTTTTTCGAGACAGGGTTTCTCTGTATAGCTTTGGAGACTGTCCTGGAACTAGCTCATGTAGACCAGGCTGGTCTTGAACTCACAGAGATCCTCCTGCCTCTGCCTCCTGAGTGCTGGGATTAAAGGCATACACCACCAACACCCAGCTCTACTACAGTTTCTATACTTAATTTCAAATAAAGCTTTTGTTTCCCTTTTTCTCAGGAGTAGTGGTTGGGGGTTTTGTTTGTTTGTTTGTTTGTTTGTTTTTACGACAGTGTCTCATTTGGAAGTCCTTGTTGGCCTCAGACTTTTTAAAGACCCTCCTAACTCTGCCTCCCAAGTGCTACACACCTGTGCTTAAAGGTCAGAAACTGGAATTAGTTATCTTCCTATATTCTCTCTACTTATTCATAGGAGGTTGGGCCTCTGCCTGAACTTGGGGTTTGCATATTTTCAGCTAGACTGGAAGCTAGTAAGCCCTAACAATCTTTCCATTCCCTAATTCCCTCAGAGCTTAGGTTACAGAATACTAGTGTTTTAAGATGCTAGGACATGAATAAATCAGAGGTCCTATTGAGAGCTTAAGTGATTGGCATTAAGAGTTGTTTAGACAGTACTTCCTTCTAATGTGTTAGCCAGCAACATCCTATTTACTTATTTGTTTCTTTATTTGATGTATGTGTCTGTTTTGTTTTCGAGTTAGGGTTTCTCTGTAGCTTTGAAGCCTGTCCTGGAACTCGATCTGTAGGCAGGCTGGCCTCCAACTAACAGATCCATCTGCCTCTGCCTCTGGGATTAAAGGAGTGAATATTTAATTTTATTTTCTTGTTACCAACTCTACAGATTATAAGCACACCACAGAGAATTACCAATTCAGGAAGTGTTCTGATTGGGAGTCCGTATCCCCCTGCACCAGCAATGGTCACTCAAACACACATAGCTGAGGCTGCTGGCTGGGTTCCCAGGTAAGAGGGTCAGAAATGACTGTTTCTAAGCTTCCGACCCCTATAGTCCTGCTGTGTTGTCCTTGTCTTCCTGCTCTCCTTTGTGGTTTTATACATTCATTCATTTTGCAAGTGTGGGCACATAGACATGGTTTACAGCATGTGCAGGAGTGAAAAGAGAACTTTGGGAGTTGGTTCTGCTTTCACTGTAAGTCCTAGAGACCAAGCTCACTTTGTCAACAGATGCTTGTAGCCCTGTTGGCATCATCTCACCAGCCCATATATTTTATTTTTAATTATTCATGTAAGTGTATGGGCATGTGACCATGAGTGCAGATGCCCGTTGAATCCAGAAAAGAACATTGGCTCCCTGGAGCTGAAGTTATAGGTGGTTGTGATCCACCCAAGATTGATGCAGTAACCAAGGAACCATGGTCCTCTGAAAGAGCAGCAGAATGTGCTCTTAACCACAGCGTTTTCTCTCTCTAGTACTTTTTTCCCCCAAGTGTAAGTGTGTGTGTGTGTGTGTGTGTGTGTGTGTGTGTGTGTGTGTGTGTGTGTGTGTGGTACGAGTTCATGTTTTTGTGAATATATTATTTGTAAGCATACATGTGTATGCATGTATACATATAGAGGCAGTAGGTTAACAACAGGTGTCTACCTTGATCACTCCATTTTATTTATAGAGGAGGTTTCTTGTTGAATCCAGATCTTGCTGATTTGGCTAGATTACCCCAGTAATCTCCTAACTTGGGCTCCTGAGTGAATGCTGGGATTACATGCAGGTTACCCACAGTACTAACTGGGGTCTGGTCCTTGGGCTTGTACGGCAAGTATTCTATACACTGAGCCCTTGAATTTTCTCTTGTTTTGTTAATCTAGTTATTTGGGGGCTGGGGCAGGCAGGGCTATATTGATTTTGTTTTGGGAGATTTCAAGATGGGGGTTTCATGCAGATAGGATGGCTCACTGAGTCAGCTAAGTGCTCATCTTGACTCCTAATCTGACTGTGTCCATCTTCTGAGTGCTGGTTACAGGTGCTGTGAGTTTGATGTGTTTGTTGTTGTTTGAGACAGAGTCTTGGGTTATAACCTGGCTATCTGGATACTTGATACAAGGCCATGACTGGCCTTGAATTCTTGGTGATCCTTTTGCCTCTCAGCCTCTTGAATACTCAGGTTTCAATTATTTGCCACCATATCCAGCTTGTTTAGATCTTTAAAAACTAATATTTTGCTTTAAAATCACCAATTACGTTTGGGCTCTGTATGTAGCCCAGGCTTGCCTCCAACATGGAGTTGCCATAGTCAGTGCCACCAGGTCCAGTGAGTACAACCAGTGGGTCAAACACTTGTTCTTACCGAGGAATGAAGGTTTGTTCTCAGCACATCTGGCGGCTCAGAGCTACTCGTTAACCCCAGCTCCGAGACATCTGATACCTTCTGACCTCTGTGGGCACCCACATACTTGTGGCATATACACATATAGACACACATACACATAAATAAAATTTAAAAGGAAGAGAGAAAAGTATTAAAATAATACCCCAAACTTTATTTTATTACTTCTGAAGTTTTATTACTTTATAACATATACTATGTGAGTTTGAGCAAACAAACAGTAAATCTTTATTAAGAATGACCTTGCTCAAGGATAAGTGAGTTAATGAAATAACAGCCCTGTCAAGTGCTTTATACCATATACAGATGGACAGACATTTCCATATACTATAAAGACAAAATAATTTTGTGTAAATTCATTTGTAAATCTGTACTGTTTTCCTACCCAAGTTTTCATTGAACTTATTCCAGTTTAAGAATTATTATCATGTCTTTATTCCATGGCAAAAATGCTTTCTTATGTGTATATTCAGTTTAGAATGAGACAAGTTATAATGAATTATTTAAAAAATAGAGTTGTGTTTTATGCTTAAACTATCTTTTTGTCTTTTTAGTGATAGAAAACGAGCTAGAGAATTTATAGACTCTGATTTTTCAGAAAGGTGAGTATAAGTGTATTTTGTTTCATATTCCATTATGAAAAGGGGGGATTCCTTTGTATAGCTTTAACTTGATTCAGTTGCTACCATTATTTCAAACTGCACTAAGGCTTCCAATTCACTTATTTGCACAGTTCCAATAGATATCCTGTGACATTGGTCATTCAGGCCTCTTCTTCCTTTTGGGGAAGAAAATGTTCTTCCAAAGTAAATACTCCATAGTATCCTGACATGCCCAAACTTTTAAACAAGCTGTTTTTTCTTAAATAGTTCTAGATCATAGTAAATGCTTGTTTCTTTTGTTGGTTGGTTTGTTTGTTTTTGGTTTGGGTTTTTTGAGACAGGGTTTTTCTGTTTACCTTTGGAGTCTGTCCTGGAACTCGCTCTGTAGACTAGGCTGGCCTCGAACTCACTGCTTCTGCTTCCCAATTGCTGGGATTAAAGGCATGAGCTATTACTGCCCGGCAAATGCTTGTTTCTTTAGACACCTTTAGGGTTATGAAATTGTCTTTTTTAAAAATATTTGCATAGTGGTTTTAAAAAATATTGCATATCAGAATTACTTGTGATCTCTCTTACACAAGTATAGTACCTCTCTAGTCCGTTACCTCTGATATTAAAGACAGTTTGGAAGCTCAGTGGTAGAGCACTTCATTAGTCCTAGGTTCCATTCCCAGTACTAGGGGGAAAAAGAAGGATCTATTGGTTTAGAGCCATTATATGAGCCGAAGTTCATAATGTCATGCAAGCCACTATTCCAGGTACCATCTTAGTATTATGCCATATTAAAATGAGAGTTGTCATTTCAGAGTCCATTGATCTCTATAAGATGAGAATTGTTCTGTTAATAAAGCCTTGCTGATAGTGTTTACAACATCCTCCACTCCATAGGAAATTACAAGTCAGCATGGGCTAGTGTGAGATCCTGTTCTCAACTGAAAAGACAAAATAATAGAATCTCTATTCCAGCAACAAATACAAATAGTTAATAAACTTACTTAAAAGTACTCATCAGCATTAGTCATTTAAAAAACTAAAAAACAAGTGAACAGATACTGCTGAGTATCTATTAAATAGCCACCAGGAAAAAAGACAAAATCTTCTTAGATTTATTTGTTTTTATGCATATGAGTGTTTTGCCTGCGTGTATGTGTATGTAACCATATTCATTGAGCACTCAAAAAAGTGAGAAGATATCAGATCTACTGTGGATACTAGAGACCTAGAAACCAAACCAGGTTCTCTGCAAGAGCAACAAGGGCTCCTAACTACTAAGCCAACTGTCTAGTCATACACACACACACACACACACACACACACACACACGCACGCACGCACGCACGCACGCGCACTTACTTCCCACTTAATGAAATTAACTTGGGGGAATTATGTTTTGTTGTTGGTTTTGTTTTTCTTTTTTGAGCCTTCCAAATACTAATATTACAGGTATGCATCACCATGCTTGACAGTAATAGAAGTTTTTGGTTTTGTTTTGAGATTACGTGAAAGAGTGTGGTGTGTGTGTGTGTCTGTGTGTATGTTGTATGTATGTGTGTGTGAGGGGTGGTGGTGGAGACAGTCAAGTACCCTTGAGACCAGAGATCCTGGATCTGGAGTTACAGGTGGTTGTGAGCGGCCTGATGTGGATGCTGGAAACTAAACTGTGATCCTCTATAAGAGCAGTCGTGTTTTTAACAGCTGAGGCATCTCTAGACCCTAACCTTTAAAAAATTATGTGTATTTATCATTGTTGGTGTACATGTGCCACTGAACATATATGGAGGTCAGATAACAATTTAATGGGATTAGCTCTTTCCTTGCTCTGTGTGAGCTCTGGGTCATTAGATTTGGAGGCAAGCACCTTGAGCCTTCTCACCAGCCCCTCAGAGTGTGCCTACAACTATTTAAACACTCAATTCAGATTTTGCTGTTTGTCTGTTCCTTTTGTTCATATCAATCAGATGCTTAGTTTAACTACTTTTTGCCTTTCAATAACTGCAATTCTTGTCTGTTCCTCTTCTCTACCATTGACATCAACTGTTGCAATAGCTTCTTAGCTGGTTTTCCTTTTTTCATCTCCTTTACCCATAGAATTCACCTTCAACTTTAACATGGCCATGTCTGCCTCCATCAGTATCTCACTCAACTCAAATCGCTTAGCAGTTTCATTATATTTATATACTCTATGGATGCATTTGTGAGTCTTTTCTAATTGCATTAGGGTTCTCTAAAGGAACAAGAACTAGAAAAATGAAACAAACACACATACTCCAAAGGCAATTTAGACTGGTTTATAGGGTGTGGCCTGGATATTCTAGCAATGGCTGTTTCACAGTGGAAAAGCTAAGAGGCTGGTAGTTATTCAACTGGATGTCTTTGGTGTATGTTGAAATACTGAAGAAGTTGGATTCTAATACAATTGAAGGAATACCTCAACCATGGGATAAATGAGCTTGCACCAGTGACAGCAAGGACAAGTGGGCAAAAAGCAAAGTTTTCTTCTTCTGTGCCTTTTTTAAATCTGGGCTGCCACTAGAAGGTGTGGCCAAGCTTTAAGGTGGATCTTCTTGCTTTTAGATAGCTGATTAAGAAAATCTGGAGGCAGGTGCAGCTGAATCTCCATGAGTTTGTGGCTAGCCTTGCCTATGTAGTGAGTTCCAGGCTAGCCGGAGATACACAGTGAGACCCTGTGTATCAAGAAATAAAAATTAAAGAAATCTAGCAGCTTCAGTTTTAGTTGAGTCTAGATGTAGTCAAGTTGACAACTGTGACAGGAATGTAGGGAAAAGAAAGTAGATATTTTTATTATCTCATTCTTTTGAAAGCAGTATGTCTAGTGGGTGTTTATTTGTTGTTGCTGTTGTTTTTTGGTACATAGCATAGAAAATATAAATAACTTACTAATGTCAGATTATACTGATAAACATCATGATGAGATGCAGTCAGAATTTGTTTGCTTTGTAGGTTAAAGCACGGCCTGTTCTTTCCCATGGTTGGCATTGCACTCTGTATTGGTGACCCCAATATGCATTACCCATTTTCTCCATCATGTTGTATTTGCTGCTCGTCTCCTGATTAAAGCTGTCCTCACTTCCTTCCTTTGACCTTTACACATTGTTGATGATTCTTGCTCACAAGTCATTTTCCTATAGGTTCAAATAGCTGTCCATCTTCCCACTCCCCACAGAACATTGTGAGTAACTGGCCTGGCACTTTCACCTCTGGAATTGTCCACCAATATATATGTGTCTCATAATCATGCTCTAAGACTCACTGAGGAAAAGAATTTCACCTGAATTTTTATACTTCTGATTCCTAAAACAGTTGTACATATATAATCTAAACTGACCCCTCAAGTCTTAATGGCTAAGAAATGAGACTGATAGTTTTAATGTCAAAGAAAAGATAAATATTAACTAAGATATAATCTCTAGAAGGCAGAGTTATTATAACTTTTCACAAATGTATTTCTAGTGACTGGCATATGGCAGTAATTTGTCAGTACTTGCTTACTAAATGAATGACATTATGGAAGAGCACTCTGTATATTGTTATATTGTTAAGCTCTTAAAATAAAACTTAAATTTAAAAACATTTTCTTTATTCAATTTACATTTTCTTCATTTCAAACAAACTAAAACATAGAAACTAAATTATTGTGTCCTGGTTTTATTTTTTGCATAGTATAACAGAATATGAATTTTTTTCTTAAATCTTTTTTCTTTCCTAGTAAACGAAGCAAAAAAGGTGATAAAAATGGGAAAGGCTTGAGACATTTTTCAATGAAAGTATGTGAGAAAGTTCAGCGGAAAGGCACAACATCATACAATGAAGTAGCTGATGAGCTGGTGTCCGAGTTTACCAATTCAAGTAACCAGCTGGCAGCTGACTCGGTAGGTTGATCGTGAATTTCATATGGACTATGATACATGATGACCCAACATTCCTGAGTCTGTGTGCTAGATGTAAGGAATCGAGGAAGCTAAGGAACCCTTTAATTGAGAGTTTCCTATTTCATGTTAAGGAAATTTGTATTGTAAATTTTTGGTTTGTTTTGGAAATATTCTTTTTTATTTGAACAGATATACATTTAAACAGATATACATTTAAATTTTTTTTTTACTTTATGTTTGCATGTATGATGTATGTGGGCACATCATGATATATATGCAAAGGTCAGCGGACAATGTTGTGGAGTCAGTTCCCTCAGTCCACCCTCACCTGGGTTCTGGAGACTGAACTCAGGTCATCATGCTCAGCTAGGAAATGCTTTGCTCTACTGATCCATGTTGCTACCCCCCTCAATAATTTTGGAGCCTTGCAAATTTTGGAGAACTTAGAAGATTGAAGCAAGAAAAAAATCCACAATTTTGAGCCAGCTTGCAGTATATAGTGAATACAAGGCTAATCTGGGCTACATAGTGAGACCCCACCCCATGACAAAAAAAAAAAAATAGGAAAGTTCAAAATACTAGGATTTCACCCAGAAATTGATCTTAATGTAGTCTACAATGTCAAAAATACAATATTTATATCCAGTTCCATAATTTCAATTTTCTATTGATTTAGGTTTCATTTTATATTTAGCGGGATTCAGTGTTCCCCACTATCCATTATTATCATGACATTTAATTAATTCAATTTTCCTTTAAGAACTTCCTAGCACCAGGTAAAGCCAGCGGATCTCTGAGTCTATAGAGTAAGTTCCAGGACAGCCAGGGCTACATAGAGAAACCCTATCTTGAAAAAACAGAAAAACAAAAAACAAAACCCAGAACTTGCTATTTACAATAAGATAAAAACCTCATGATATAAATCAATATGAATGTATTCATTCAATAAAAGTCTTATTTCCAAAAGAAAGGAAAAGGTAAGCTGAAACCAATTGGTATCATGAGAGCACACAAATATTTTGGGACAAGTTCCTGTTCTCATTACAGTGTAAAAAGAGCTAGTCAGCACTAATCCATGAACCACATTGTAAGAAGCAAAGATTTACATAGACCTTAAAACATGCATATATGTTGGCTGTTTGTGTTGTGTGTGTGTGGAGGCTAATGCGTGGGTGTGCAGATGCCAGAGGTTAACATCGAGTATCTGTCACTCACCACCTTATTTGTGTTATTTGTTTGTTTATGTTTTTATTTATAGGCAGGGTCTCAGTTTGCCTCTATGACTGGCTTAGAACTCACAGAGAACTACTTGCTTCTGCCTCCCCAGGGCAGGGATCAAAGATGTATGTACCATTCCTGGCATACTTAACCTGGAGCTTCTGTTTCTCACTGGACATGAAGCTTAGTGATTGACTAGCTGGGAGGCCAGTAAGCACACAGGGTCCACGTGTCTTCACCTTGAACTGGGATTACGGATGCATGCCTGCTGCACTTGGCCCTTCTGTGGGTGGTGGGAACTCAAACATAGGTTTTTATTCTTGCATAACAAGCACTTTACCCACTCAGCCCTAGCTCTTGATGTTTTTAAAGTATGAAATTCTTCCTAATAATGCAGGCACTTTTAATACTTTCTCTACACACACATACACACACACACACACACACACACACACACACACACACATATTTATTGTGGATATTTTTATATGCTCTGGATTCCTTACACAGCTGAAATCTACCAATATATTTTCTACATCTCCAAGCTTCCATTTTAAATAATTTTTCTCCCACCCAAAGAAGTTCCGTAGTATTTTTCAGTGTCAATCTGGTGTTAGTATATTTGTTTATGAGGTTATTTTGTGTTAAAGTGTCTTCAGAGCTGGAGATAGCACACGTGAGGCCTTGGGTTCAATCCTCAGAACCACTTAGAAAATAAGCAAAGAATGTATTCAGAGCTGGTAAGATAGCTCAGCCAACAAAGGTACTTTGTTGCCAAGCCTGTTGACCTGAGTCTGTCAGGTGGACACTATGGCAAGAACACACACCCAAGTAAAAAAGTAAATAAATAAATTAATTGAAATGTTTACAAGTATCTTGTAAACATTTCTAAAGATGTTTTCTAAAGATGTTTTCACTGGGCATGAAATATTTTCAGCAGTTGGGACATACTGTCATCAATACTAGCAACAGGTGAAGGATAACCCTTAAAATGTAGCACTTAATAAGAATATTTTTAGCAGGCTTATGATCAGAAGAACATTAGACGAAGAGTTTATGATGCTTTAAATGTGCTAATGGCAATGAACATAATTTCAAAGGAAAAAAAAGAAATCAAGTGGATTGGCTTGCCTACCAATTCCGCCCAGGAATGTCAAAACCTGGAGGTAAGTAAGAAGTGGTGTTGGGTAGGTTTTTTGTTTTACATGTAAGACATTTTTATTTAGAAATTTAATCATGTGGGGGCTGGAGTGATGGCTGTTCTTCCAGAGGTCCTGAGTTCAATTCCCAGCAACCATATGAAATGAGATCTGGTGCCCTCTTCTGGTGTGCAGGTGTACATGCAGGCAGAATACTGTATACATAATAAATTTTTTAAAAAAAGGAAGAAAGAAATTTAATCATGTAATATTAAAATATTCCTAATTGTTCATGCTTGCTATCGTTAATTTAAGAGTCTATGGAGAATTTTGAATTGGAAGAGTTTTAGAGATACAGTCTGCAGTTTATTTTACAAATCCTGAAACTGAGCAATAAAATGTCAGTGAGTAGTCTGAGCATGAAGATGATGATGGCTCATACCTGTAATCCCAGCACAGAAGTAGGAGGAGGATCAAGAATCAGGGTCATCGCCACATAAAGTTATAGTTCAAGGCTATCCTGAGTACACAGTTTGTCTCAAAGCAGACCAACAACAAAAAACCCGGCACAGAAAATAGCAGCAGCAAAGTTAGATGAATGGATTTCATTTTTATTGTTTCTTAGAAAAGATCTTTATTTCATTTTAATTTTTAATTCTAAGTAACTGCCAAAAATTCTTGGTATGTTATCTAATAGATCTAATTTTACCTGATTAATTATTCTGATGCAAAGTAAATCTGTGTGCTTCCAAACAATAGCTCAAGCTGGTGGTTTGTTTCCTGTATTGCTTATCCAATATCTTAAATTTAACTATGCAAGTTAAATTTATCTTTGACTCTACTGTCAGTAAGTGACCAGGTGGCATTTTGTATGTGGCCTCCACTAATTTTGGGACAATGTTAAAAAATATTTTTAGCTTGGTTAACTTTAAGTACTATAGAAAAATTTCCCTAAATGAGTGTTTCTCTGTCACACTGTTTCTGAATTGATTTGTTGAAGCTTACTGGTAAGATCGTGAATGATATGAACTGAAGTGAACAGTGGCTCTTAGAGGCAATTAAAATTGATTTCAGATTTTACTCAGTACTTTTGCGTTCTACCCCCAACTAGAAATTGTTAACAAAAATTACTATTATTGTTCGTATGAATGACAAAAAGAAAAAAAAAGTCAACATTCATCAAAGGCTACAGAATAGTGTTTTTATGTGCTACAGCAGAAATATCTCCCCTTTTCTTCTTCCTGAGTAGAATTTGAACATCATTCTACTAACATTATCATGTCCTTAACTACAGAACAAGACAAAGTTTAACACTAAAACCAAGACCCCCACGAAACTGTTGCTTTTCAGCAGTTGGGACATACTGTCATCAATACTAGCAACAGGTGAAGGATAACCCTTAAAATGTAGCACTTAATAAGAATTTTTAGCAGGCTTATGATCAGAAGAACATTAGACGAAGAGTTTATGATGCTTTAAATGTGCTAATGGCAATGAACATAACTTCAAGGCAAAAATAGAAGTCTTCAAAAATATGACTTCATCTGAGCTCAAGATACAATTCAGTAGTAGTAGAGCTCTTGCCAAGTATGAATGAGGCCCTGGGTTCTATCTCAGGAATGAGAAAGGAAGGGAAAGAGGAAACGCCCATGAAAAAAGTCTGTAGATTCTCTTGGAAGGAGGGATAGTGTAGATTTTTACCAAGGAAATGATGACTGAATTCAGTTCTGAGAGAGGAACAGAAGTTTGCCAAATGTTTAAGGGTAAGTTGGGCATTACATCGGCAACACAGGCACATGAAGGTATGCCTATAGCTGAGTGTGCCAAGGCACATGGCTGTAGAGAAGTAATACAGTACATTTCTGAATGCTAGGCAATATAATGTAGACCTGTTATGGAAACAGTGGGAAGCTATTTTTTAAATTCTGGGTCCAACAGTGTGCACCTGTAAGCCCTGCACTTGGAAGGTAGAGGCAGGAGGATCACAAGGTCCTGTCATGTCTGGGTTATATAGCAACACCATGTCTCTTTCAAAGAAAACATTTTAATAAAAAACACTTGGTAGCAGGGGAGGAAAATGGTACAGAGCAGGAAGGATTAGGTATGATCCTCTAAGTAGTGACAGTGAGCTCAGAGAGGCATGTTGAGTCTGGTATAGCTTAGCCTGGTAGGATGTGGACATAACTGGCAGGTAGGGGCTTAACCTTTATTCTTACAGCAGTGTCACACAGATGGTCATGTGACTCTTAAGTAATACAAAGGGTGTAGTGGATAGTACAACTATGAAAAGGAGCTCCTAGAGTGTAGACCAGAGTAGATAAGGAGCAAATGGGAAATAATTTGTTGGAACAGACAAGAAAGGTGTTTTACCTGATGTGTCAAAGAAGAAAGCAAGATGGATGTGATGTCATTCACTAGTATACCCAGCCTCAAGAGATAGAGGCAAGAGAATCTTGGGTCTGAGCCTAGCATGGCTACATAGGGAGACCCTATCTCAAAATACAACAGTGGACGAAAGTGTAACTTCATTTTAAAGATTTGTTCGGGGGCTGGAGAGTTGGCTCAGTGGCTAAGAGCACGGGCTCACAACCATCTGTAACTCAAGGGGGTCCAGTGTCATTTTCTGTCCTCCAAGGACACCAGACATTAGATACACATGACATATGTTTGGGTAAAATACTCATACAATAAAATTAAATCTTAAAAATGATTAAGGATTTATTTGTTTTTTATAACTTGTGTTTTAAAGATAGAGAAGCAGAGACGGATAGAACGGATAAGGCAGAAGCGGGCCCAGCTACAAGAACTTCTCCTTCAGGTAAAAATCTGACTTGTTTTTTTTTTTTTTTTTTTTTTTTTCACTACCTTCCTAGCTCATACAGTGTTTCTCTGCTTATTTACTTCCAAAGCCAGTACGTTTTGTAGTTGTGTTGCCATCGGGTAGTATCTAGAAGAATACCAATACAGCCCACCTGTCATAGCTCATTGATCTTGAATGTTTGGCTTTCAGATGGTCCAGCCGTCATATTTTCCCCCATCCCGAACTCCCAGGTTCCCACCTTGAGTGCAGCAGCTCCCTTTGAGTGCTCATCCTTACCTGAAGTTGCAGTATCCATGGGTTTTGCTGCTTCTCATTTTGTCCCTAAGGAGGGGGAGTCTTTTAGGTGTATCAGAACTGGTAAAGCAGTTGTGGCCTGACCTATGGTCTCCCCATCTAGTCTAAAAGGTCTACAGTGTTACCCACCAGAGTCAGATATAGGTTACCGATCAGAAGCTAGACAAGTCCCATTTCATGCTGAGACAGAATATTTCTGCCCCAAAGGAAAGGCAAAATGAGGAATGAGTGTTGAATAGACCTCTCCATTGACAGGCATTTGGCTATGGAATACATCTCAGGAGTTAGCTCAATTTGCCCCGGAAAAAAAAAAAAAAAAAAGATGACTGTGGGACCAGGGACCTGGAGAAAGGGGCAACACGAAATGTCAGGTTTCTGTATCCACTAGGAAGTTCAGCGTGTACCGTCTTATAAAGTTACCTTGGGCTCATCAACTTGGGCTGGTATTAGGGACCCTGGACAGGGAAGTCCAGGACCTATCAATGTTTAGATGAGGAAGCTGGTTTCAAGCTCTTGTCACTCAAGGACCTTCTTGACCTCCAGTTACTGCCTTGGCATTTTGGAAGGGATTTAGGTTAAGAATGAAACAAAATTCTCATAGTTCTGTCCTTGGGGCATTGCCTCCAGAAGTATACAGGCTGGCCACAGAGGGAGCGTGTCCTACTTCAGAATGACTTTTCCTTGGGTAGCTCTCACAACAGCCAGCAGGTTATTATGTCATTTGTTCTTTTCCCTCTCCCGGTCCTGTTTGAAGACAGATTGGTCCAGGCTCTCATTTGGCTTAGCCACCAGTTTTTGCAGTTTTCTATGGATATCTGGGACTGAATGGGTGAAGACTATGTCTTTCAGAAGGACATCCGAGGACCCTGGTGTCCCATTAGTGTGCTTTCCAGTAGTCTCTCTTTAGTCTCTGGAGACTAAAGAGACTAAAGAGGTCCACTTTCTCTCTGGCAGATGGCCTTCAGCTAATAATCAAGCCATGTGATCTCTGCTTTCCTTAAATCCTCAGAAATATGATAAAGTGCTTTCTCTTCCAGTGACCATGGGAGTCACTGGGTGGTCACTGGAAGGGCCTGTGAGTATTGACTCTGGGCCATGTTAGTCATTAGCAGTTGCCATTGCCCTTTCCTTCACCCTTCTTCTTCTAAGGTCAAGGTCTAATCTAAAATGAGCATGAAACCTCTCCAGGCCAGGCTGTAAAGGCTGTTTAGGTGCTAGAAGGTCTGTATATACTGGTCTTTAAGCCTGGATAATACAAAAGACTCTCTAAACATAGGTGAGTCTGAACTCTCCCCTAATCTCTTGCAAGGGAACCATGCCAGGGCTTGAGGTGGTCAGGTTGAATTTCTTGAGTTCCTCTTGGATATGATGGGCAGGGATTGGGGGTAATCAGGGTAGCCAAGTTAGATATGTGGGGGTTTTGTTTTGGTTTTGTTTTTCGAGGCAGGTTTTCTCCATATAATAACTCTGGCTGTCCTAGAGTTCACTTTGTAGACCAGGCTGAAACTCACAGAGATTAACCTGCCTCGGCCTCCTAAATGCTGAATTGAAGGTGTGTGCCACCATGCTAAGCCAGGGATATGTCAGTTTTGAAGGAAAGAGGACACAGGTTATAGGGCTAAGTAGGAGGTCTCCCGATTTCAGAAGTACAGAGCCAAACCACAGAGGCTGTCAAAGGAACAGGACCTAGCTGACAATGTCAGCCTGGAAGACAAGAAAGTTGACCATAGGGAATGTTAGAACATTTTTTCCCTCTTATAGAATTGGGCCAGGTGAAGGATAGCATTGTAATTGAGGCTCCCCTGAGTCATCTTTGTTTTTTTGTTTGTTTGTTTGTTTTTTGGATTTGTTTGTTTGTTTGTTTTGTTTTTTGGGGTTTTTGTTTTGTTTTGTTTTGAGATAGAATCTCTCTACATAACCCTGGTTGTTCTGGAATTGGCTCTTGTAGACCTGGCTGACCTCAAACTCAGACATCCACCTGCCTCTGCCTTCAGAGTGCTGGGATTAAAGGTATGCACCACCACACCCAGCTAAGGCATCTGTTTTTCACAACATACAGGAATTACTGAGATCATGACTACTAAGAAAATCAATATTTTATTATTTTTTTTGTCTAAGTTTTTGAGGGTCGAATTCTGCCCATTGTGAAGGCAAATACTGACTTCCAGAAGTCTTAGAGCCATTTTATCCCATCTGTAAATGAAACAGTAATTGGAGGTTTTCTGTAGACATACAACTTTTTACTCTTTTTATCAAATGAGATTTACAAAATAGTCATAGAGAATTTATGCAAGCTGCCCGTGTACATTAATTTTTTGTTGTGGCTAAACTGGTTTGATCTTATTTAATATGTCACAACTCACTGTTCTATGACACAGGTTAACTATTACCTACATGCTACCGCCTCCCTTTTATCTTTGTATATTAGTTACTTTTATCACATGTTAGCAAGAATTTTTAAGATCAAGCATTCTAACATTTAATCCAATGAAAACTAATTTTATGTTTATATGCTAAGGAATGATGACAGAAAGATATTACAAATCTTTGTTTTCCATAATTGATTATATTTTCTACAAGAGTGGAAAACTTTGCAAGTAAATATAGTGGTTGTTCGTTGTTGCATGGTGTGAGGACATAAACAGAAATGTTGTGCTCTGTGAACCCAAGCTTCAGGGGTGTCACACAGCACAACACAGTAGAGCACTGGCTGCAACACCTGGCTCATAGTGTGGTAGACTTTGAATTAACTTTGTGTCATTATAATTCAGAAACCTTTTACTGTTGCCAAGTTCTTTTTTGTAATTCACACATTCATTTATGTAACTTCATGTGGGATCTCAACCCTCAGTCTAAAAAGCTGTGTTCTCACAGGATGTAATGGCAGGTCTATACTCCCAGCACTCAGGAGGTAGAGGCAAAAGGATCTGGAGTTGAAGATCATCTTCGCCACACAGCAAGTTAGAGACCAACCTGCACACTCGTCTATAAGTTAGTCAATCAAAGCTACGTACTAGGAGGGAGAAGTTATAGAAATATGTTTGACTACTTCATGCTTTTTCTCACTTCCAATTCCAGCACATTTTTCTCTGGATGTAAAATGAGTTGAGGAATGAATGCAAACTACTTTCAGCTTTTTGCATTTATTTATTTATTTGTTTGTTTATTTATTTATTTATTTAATGCACATTGGTATTTTGCCTGCATGTATTATGTCTATGTGAGGGTGTTGGATTATCTAGGACTGGAGTTATAGACAGGGTTGTGAGCTGCCATGTGGATGTTGCCAATGGAACCTGGGTCCTCTGGGAGAGCAGTCAGTGCTCTTAACCACTAAGCCATCTATCTCTCCAGCCCCCCACTTTTGTTTTTTGGGAACTGAAAAGAACAAAGAAATAAAACTTAAGTTTTATAATCGTAGTAATAGTGGTAGTTTTGATAGTTGTTGATATTGGTAATTGGACAGTTAATACTAGAATAAATTGACATTCCTTCTGAATAATGAATTTTAAGAGATAGTGTTTACTTTCTAGGGAGATAGGCCCAAACCATTTTTAAGATAATTTTGTAAATCAAACTTTAGTTAAAACCCCAAGCCTGAAATGAAACAGTTCTGAACATAGATTACTAAGATTTTTTTTTTTTAAGTAAGATGAATTTGGGATGATTGTTTTATGAGCAGATGAAAGAGACGCAGCCTAATATTTTTTTTTTAACTAGATGTCTTGCCTGGTTAATACTAAGGTCACCTTCTTTATCTTTTGAGCAATAATTATAATGAGCAGTGATAAAGTTCAGATTTTATATTTTGTACTTTGTATTGAACCTCAGTTTCCTCTTGGGAAAGTGTCGCTGGGTAGGGGAGCCTTGGGCTGGATCCCAGAGGTGCTCTGAAGGCAGGTTGTGAGCTATGCAGACCTTAGACACCACTGTGGCAAGGGCTGGGCACCCACCTCCTGCCACCAGCTGGCTAGTGCTGTTTCTATCTGTTCTCTGTTATGAGCATCCCAGATGCCATCTTGAGAATAATTCTCTGCTTTAAAGGAATGTGTATCTCTTAACTAGATAGAAAAAAAATGAGATGTATTTCACCCTAAACTCTGAGGATGAGGTATGAGGTGAGTTGAGCTAAACATACTTGGGGTCACTCTGACAGAGAACTGTTGCCTATGCTGCTGGCTCTCCCATATCTCTGAGAGCCTGTTTCTCTAGGAAATGGAAACCAGAGGCCCCATCATTTACCTTAGTTAGATATCATCAAAATATGTGTTGCCGGGCATGGTGGTGCACACCTGTAATCCCAGCACTTGGGAGGAAGAGGCGGGTGGATCTCTGAGTTCGAGGACAGCCTAGTTAGTCTACATAGTGAATTCCAGGACAGTCAGGGCTACACTGAGAAACTCTGTCTCAAAATAAAAGAGATACATGTATTTTACTCTTGAAATGTGTTTATTGCACTCAACCTTTGTAATCTTTTATCATGTTTAACTTTTTTATTTGTGAGTATAAATGGACTGCTTGTTTAAGTACTCTAGTTTTGATGTAGATATTTAAAATGTATTATGTTAATTTATTTAAATTCTATGTCACTTTTTCATATTAAATTACCTTTTGTTTATTCAACATTACAGCAAATTGCTTTTAAAAATCTGGTACAGAGAAATCGACAAAATGAGCAACAAAACCAGGGCCCTCCAGCTCTGAATTCCACCATTCAGCTGCCATTTATAATCATTAATACAAGCAGAAAAACAGTCATAGATTGCAGCATCTCCAGTGACAAGTGAGTGGGGATCTAGGGGAGGGGAGGGTATAGGGCTGTTGCTAGTATTCAGGCATCTGTACTGCCTGTCCTTGGGGTTCTGGCAGGATACACCCTCAGCTGCAGCCACTAAGAGCACCACCTGTGCACATTCACTGTGCTCCCTTTAAAAGGGCCCTGCCCATACCCCATCCTTCTCTCTTTCTCTCCCTTTCTGGCTGTCCCTCCCTCCCTCTCCCTTCTCTTTCCCTCTTCCTCTTTTCCTCCTGTCCTCCCCCCTCTTCCTTTCTCTCCTGTCTCCCTCCCTCCCCCTCTCTCTTCTCTCCTGCTGCTCCTGTCTCCAGAGGCTGGTATCTTCCCTTCCCTTTCCCCTTTTTATGATCCCTTTCCCTAATTTAAAAAAAACCATCTGCTTGAACCCTTCTCTTGAATGGCGTCCTTCTCTTGAGTGCCAACACTGGCCTTCTGTTAATGTTCCCCTACATAAAGATGATGCATTCCACTATCTACAGCCCCTTTAGGCTGGTGGCTCCCACATGGGTGTTCTTTTCAGCAAGGGTGAGCTCCATAGTCCCTTACCCCATGTCAGGCTTGCCTGTGACATGTGTGTGGTGCTACCTGGTTCCAAGCTGTCTTGTGAGCTGTCTTGTGTGTGTGACACTTGTGTGGTGATTCAGCAAGTAACTCAATAAGTGAGGGCTCAGGTGAGTCACTGTTATAGTTTATTATGAATATATATCAACTGTATGCTTCTATTTAGTTTTTATTTAGTTTTTAAGAAGGGGTTTCGTAGCCCAGGCTGTCCTCTAACTTACTACACAGCCACTATAACATTGAGTTCATCTTCCTTGCACTACCTCCCACATGCTGAGATTAAAAGGTGTGTGTCATAACACCTGCTGATTCTGTTCATTGATGAACAACAGTAAAGAGTCCTGGGTGTGCCTCGCTTACCTATAACCCCAGCCTGTGGCAGGTGGGGGAGGGTAATGACAGAGCAGGAAGTTTGCCAGGGCTTGCTTGGCCAGCCTAGCTCAAACAGTGGGCTTCAGGTTCAGTGAGAGCGCCTGTCTCAAAATCTAAGTTGAAGAGTGATAGAGGACACTCAGTGGCCTCATCTGACCTCCACCCATGGGACACAATTCACTTTGGCAAGCAGAAAGTAGCAGTCTTCAGAGCACAGAATTCATTATGTACTGCCCTTCCTCATGAGGGAGTTAGAAGTGCATAGAGAACAAGACTGGGGTCAGTTGCGGACTGGAACTCCACTCCCTGCCTGCTCATGAGGTCTGGCTCATTGCAGCATTTTCCAAGTGCTAGTTGCTGTTCTTCGGGACAGGCAGATTTCATTCTTTACATTTCTTAGCCTCTCTGAGATCTCATTCCTTCCTCCACAAAAATAAAAATTAGGGCCAGTAAAATGGCTCAGTAGATAAAGGTGCTTGCTAGCAAACCTGATAGCCTGATATAATCCTCAAAACCCAAATGGTAGGAGACAACCAACTCTAAAAAATTATTCACTGATGTCCACACACTAAAATAATGTATAAGAATTCAAGAAATTAAAATCAGTTATTTATTTTGCCAATTTATAAATTCACACAACAGCTAGCTAGCCCAGTAAAATGTTACATGTCAAAGTTATTATTCACATTCACAGACTACAGAAACCTCTGTCTAAGAGGACTGATTATCAACACATTATCTCCACACAGAAACCTGTGTCTAAGAAGACTATCAACATATCATAACACTAAGATGTCTTCAAAATGGTTAACATCTTCAGAAGTGACCTGTAAATGTCATGCTGTAATTACTCTCTAAAAGTTAGTCTTTATGGGGGACTAGAAAATTCTCTTCTTAGATTAAAGGGATTTCACAGCCGAGCTTGTAGCACATAACCTGTAAACCCAGGTTGAGCAAAAGGGTTCCTGTGAGTTGGCTAGCATTGGCCAGCCAAGAGAACTGCATAAGAGAGACTTGTCTCAATAAGTAAATAATTTTTGAAGAACTGAAAAATAATGTCAGGAAAATTGGGATCCCAAAACTGGGATCTATTTTGGTTCTTTGCCTTGGGTGGTCACTGACTCATGCCTTGCTTGGCATCCCTTCATGGAGCAGCTTGTACATGCTTGTTATTTGAGGTAGATCTGTAATCTTCCCTGTTACTTTGGTGAAGCAATCTTAATTAGCCAGGAGGCTTTCCCATAATGAAATTAAGTTTACAAAGCCACCTGCATGTAAAGATGCCTGAAATCATCCCTCTGGCAAGGACCCCTTCCAGTTAGCTGTAAACTTGTTAATCCACTTTATTCAGACTCACTTCAGCATCTTGCTCTGAGTTACAAGCTTTGCTGTTAATAGAAAATTCCACAACAAGGTAGAAGCCACTGTTACTCAGAGCCTGCACTAGAACAAGCAGTATGGAACTGAAGTCTATACATGAATGTGTCAAGCCTGGCTAAAAGGCATCAGTGTTCTTCTGACACCAACTATTTCCTGGGGATCAAGCTTTTTGGTGTCTTGCTGGTCCTTTCTTTGCTTCTGGATCATGTTGTGTTCCTAGACACCTAAATATTCTGATAGGTGCTGTGTGCTTTGTATGTTTCTGACAGATTCTCTCTCTGTAGCCTAGGCTGGATTGTAACTCTTGAAACCTAAGATGGCTTTAAACTCATAGGAATCATCCTGGGTAGCCTTGCAAGTAATGGTATTACAGGCATGTGCCACCATACTAAGCACTGTGACACTTGCTTAAGACATTTTATTCTTAGCTCCCTGAGTCAGGATTTAGGTGAGTTTGCTTTGTTAAAATTGTCTTCCGTTCAAGTGCCTGAAGTCCCGACTAACTAAAAGGATCCCTCAGTCCAGGAGTTCAGACTAAACTCTGCAATGTGGTACAACCTCATCTCAAAACAGAGGGAAAGGTCTTTGTGTGCTGTGACCAGCCCTTGACTCAGGAAAATTAATTGAGCAGTCACTATATTTTCTTAAGGCTAATAAACTAGACCACAATAAATAAACAAACAAAGCACAGGGTGTAAGACCTTTCAGAGCTCCTCTGTAGCACCAAAACCTCCATACTTTCTTTTTTTCTTCTTTTTAATTTTTTGTTTTGTTGAGACAGGGCTTCTCTGTGTAGCCCTGACTTGTCCTGGAATGCACTCTATAACCAGGCTGGCCTTTAACACAGAGATCCGCCTGCTTCTGCCTCCCGAGTGCTGGGATTAAAGGCGTGTGCCACCATCTGGCTTCCTTTAAAAAATAATTGTTATTAAATTTATGTATTTGAGAGAGAGAGAGAGAGAGAGAGAGAGAGAGAGAGAGAGAGAGAGAGAGAGAGAGGGAACTGAAGTTGTTGTCAGGATGGTGTCTGGCACCTTTACCTGTGAGCCATCTCACCCTCCCTGTCCTTGCTTTATTTCCCAGGTTTGAATACCTTTTTAATTTTGATAATACCTTTGAGATCCATGATGACATAGAAGTACTGAAGCGGATGGGAATGTCCTTTGGTCTGGAGTCAGGCAAATGTTCTCTGGAAGACCTGAAAATTGCAAAATCACTGGTTCCGAAAGCATTAGAAGGCTATATCACAGGTATGCTGGTATGTCACTAACATGTTAAACACCCTCAGAGTGCAATTCAGGGAATCTGAGCTGGCTTCACTGGGTAGCAACCATTAATACTTTATGTAATAAATTTGTGGCATTTTTCCCCCCCAAAAAAATTAATCAGTGATTTTTAGAGGATTTCAAACTTTTTACAGCTATACAATGTATATTGCACCAAAAACATTGACTAACTCATCACTAAGTTTAGGTGTGCAATAATGTCTTTGTAATTCTGAGAGTTAACTAGAGTCTTGTAAAGCTTTTAGTGAGAAGCTTGATGGAAGTTTGATTTTGTAATTTCTTCTGGGGGAACTTAGAGTAATTTACAAAAAAATAGATACACCTCACTTCACTCTAATGGAATGCTGTGTTAATCTATTCAGTAGATCTGAATTCAAAGAGCAGAAATGTCTTAATTTTCTGTGGCTATGCTAAAACACCATGACCAAGGCAGTTTATAGAATGAAGGGTTAATTTGGGCTCAGAGTTAGTTACCCAGGGTGAAGAGTTGATCATGGCAGTAAGCAGGAGGCATGTAGGCTGGAGCAGCAGCTGAGAGCTCACATCTCAAACCTCAGACAGGAAACTGGAAATGGCCTGAGTCTTTTGAGACCTCAAACCTGGCCCCCAACAAGGCCACACCTCCTAATACTCCCCAGACAGCCACCAACTGGGGACTACATATTGAAATGCCCATGACCTCTCAGGATATCTCATGCAAACTACCACAAGGAATATATAGTTAAAGGTTTAATTATCAGGGGAAGAAACCCAGAAAACATGGAGTCATGTTAGTGTTCAGTATTCTCTTTACAATAAAATCTGTAAATGAACTGTATTTATTGTTCCTATCCCTCTCCAAGTCTTAAATGTAGTGAGTAAATACAGAGTGTTTCTACAGTTAGGACTAAAAAGGCCTAGTTCAGTGACTCATCACTTAGGAAAGCAATGTTACTGTTGAAGTCATTCGTGCATCCTCCTATTTGTGACTTTGCCCACACCTTTAGATATAACCAGTTCCTCGGAATTTCTTCTTTTAGACAAGATTTTGCTGTTATCCCAGCCTAGTCTCTAGTCTTGGTTTTCTTACCTCAGCCTCCCAAGTGCTAGGATTACAGGTATATATCACACTCTGACTTTAAATTTCTTATTTCTTATTCATTTGCTTTTTCTTCAGAGCAGTGGTTCTCAACCTTCCTAGTGTTGTGGCCCGTTAATATAGTTCCTCATGTTGTGGTGGTCTCTAACCACAAAATTATTTCACTGCTACTTCATAACTATAATTTTGCTATTATTATGAATCATAATGTAAGTGATATGCAGGATATCTAATAGGTAACCTCTGTGAAAAGGTCATTTGGCCACTGGCTGAGAACCACTAATTTAGGGGACGAGAACAAGAATGTAACTCAGTTGGTAGAGTGCCACCCACAGATTGATAACCACTGCTTTAGATGCAAGAACAAGTATGACAAGCAGGAAAAGAAACATTTTTTAGTCTTCTGACATTTATAAATAAAATCATGTCTTTCTGATTGTCTCCAGCCCAGACTATCCCAGAATTCACTTTGTAGCTCAGGCTGGACTTGAACTCATCGTATCCTGTCTCAGTCTCCTGAGTGCTGGGATTACATTCTGTACTGTACCGGCTGCCTGGAATGATGTTTTCTTTAGTGTTGGTTTTCTTTGACTTAACATTATATCTGTCATATTCCTTTGTGTGATTTAGTGTAGCTGAAATACATAGTTTTTACTTCCATATTAAATTTTGTTAGGGTTGGAGGGATGGCTCAGTGGTTGGAAGCACTCCCTGTTCTTCCAGAGGACCCGAGTTCAATTCCCAGCACCCACAAGGCAGCTTACAGCTGTCTGTAACTCCAGTTGCAGGAGATCTGACACCTTCACCACAATGCACATAAATTAATTTTTAAAAACCTTTTGTTGCATGAACAAATCATAGTTTGTTCATTTTAGTATTATAAACTTTTAGTTGTGCGCCCCCCCCACCCCGCTGCCGCCAGTTCATGCTAAAATTCAGTGGTAAACATTCTGTCCATGTGTCCTACTGCTGTGTACAAACATATAGATTGAAATCACTGGGTCTGCATTGGGTGAATTATGAGCCTTCTTAGATGATTCCAAAAGTTTTCAATTTGATTTTACTAGATTATACCTTCCCTGTCAGGCTTTGAATTAATATTTACTTCACATAAAATAAAACATCCATTTAAAAAATTTGTATGTGGATGGGTATTTTCCTACATGTGTGTCTGTGTACCACATGTGTGTCACATGCCCAAAGAAGCCAGAACAGCCTGTCAAAATCCTTTTGGACTTGCCGGGTGGTGGTGCATGCCTGTAATCCCAGCATTTGGGAGGCAGTGGCAGGTGGATCTCTGAGTTTGAGGCCAGCAGGGTCTACAGAGCAAGTTCCAGGACAGGCTCCAAATGTACACAGGGAAACTGTCTCAAAAAACCACAAACAATAAAAGAACTGTAAAAGTCTCTGGGGTGTTAGGGGGTGGGGCACACACCTTTAGTTCCAGCACTCAGGAGGCAGAGGCAGGTGGATCTCTGTGAGTTTGAGGCCATAACATCCAAGGCTACACAGAGAAACTCTTGTCTCGAAAAAACAAAGAAAGAAAGAAAAAAATCCTTTGGTACTCAAGTTACAGATAGTTGTGAACTACAGTATGGGTTCTGGGAATCAAACCCAGGTCTTCTGGATGATTAGCCAGTGCTGGTAACCCTTGAGCCATCTCTCCCACCCTGTAAATGCCCATTCATAAAAGTATGCAATTCAGTGGTGTTTTGCTATATTCACAAAAGTTTGCAACCATCTCCAATTTTTTTTTTTTTTTTTTGAAAAGATCTCACTACACTACAACTCTGGCTGGCATAGAGCTGACTATAGAGAGCAGGCTGCTCTCAAAGTCATAGATTCACCTATCCTGCTTCCCAGAGCTGAGATTAAAGGTGTGCACCACTACAGCTAGCTCCTGGGCATTTTATAACCATAAAAAGAAACTCATGCATCCAATCCCCTAGCCCCTGGGAACTAGTAGTCTAGTCTGTTTTTTGTTCCTATGGTTTGCCAGTTCTAGATATTACATATAAACAGGATTGGACATTATGCAGCCTTTATAATGGCTTCTTTCACTGTACATAGTATATTTAGTATGCTCAGCATTCATCCAAGGTATTCTATGCCTTTGTATTATTTAAGTATGGTTATTTAAGTGTGGTTGCACAAAATGCTTAGACTGAGTAATGGTTCCGATTTGAGTAGGGTTTTTTGTTTGTTTGGTTGGTTTTGTTTTTTGGGTTTTTTTTTTTAATTATTATTGTTTGTTTTTTATTTTGTAGTTATTGGTTGTTTTTGGTTGGTTGGTTTTGTTTTATATCTTGGAATCTTCAAATTTGCTCAATAAAGTTATTTGAAATGGAACACAAATCTAACCATGAGATTTCTGATAGAGATATATATATATATATCTCCAGTTGTTTTGTAGAGTATTTAATATGCCTGTGTTTTGACTTTGGACTATCATATAAAGATAGGTATGGAATTTTACACTTTTGGCATTATGTCAGTACTTAGAAAGTTTCAGATTTTGGAACATTTCAGACTTGGGATTTTTGGATTAGGGAGGCTCAACTTATACCTGTTCCTCCTCTTCCTTCGTCTTCCTCCTCCTCCTCTTTCTTCTTTCTTCTTCTTTTCGGTTTTTCAAAACAGGGTTTCTCTATAGCTTTTGGAGCCTGTCCTAGAACTTGGCTGGCCTTGAACTCACTGAGATCTGCCTCCCTGTGCTGGGATTAAAGGAATGTACCACCACTGCCCAGCATACCCATTCCTTTTATTGGGAAATAATATTCCATTTTATGGATGTACCAAATTTTCATTCATTCATTCATTCATTGATTGGTTGGTGCACGTTTGGATTCTTTAGACTTTTGAGTTTTTTGTTTTTATAAACATATTTTCAGTTTTGTTTGTTTGTATTGTTTTGTTTTATGGAATGCCAGATGGTTTTTAAAGTGGCTGTACCATTTTACAGTTCTAAGTAATGTATGAGGCTTCTTATTTTTCTTTTTTATATCCTTCTCAATACCCACCACACCTCAATTTTTGGTGCCAGTAATTGAATACATGTTTGTTTTATTTTGTTTTGTTTTTCATGATAAATATACACTCTAGGGCTAGAGAAATGGCTTAGTGGTTAAGAGCACTAACTGCTCTTCCAGAGGTCCTGAGTTCAATCCAGAAACCACATGATGGCTCACAATCATCTATAACAACATCTGATGCCCTCACCTGGCATGCAGACATACATGCAGACAAAGCACTTACACATTTAAAAAAAAAAAAAATCTACAACCAATCCACTCCCATCCCTGTCCATCTTTATAATTTCACATGGTGAAATGACAACTCACAATGATTTTTATCTAATTTCCCTAATGATTTAGGGTGTTGCATCTTATACATTTTTCTTGGAGACATAATTTTCTTTTATAATTTGAAAAAGTATATTGGCATAGTTAATAAAAAGAAACTTTTTTTTTTTTTTTCCGAGGCAGGGTCTCTCTATGGCTTTGGAGGCTGTCCTGGAACAAAGTATTATAGACCAGGCTGGTCTCGAACTCACTGAGATCCACCTGCCTCGCCTCCTGAGTGCTCGGATCAAAGGCATTCACCACTACCATCCAGCCAATAAAAAGAAACTTTTGTGGGCTCTGTAATTCATATATTTTCTACTAATATGGAAATGTTTGTGGTTTGCTAATTCCTACAATATTATATATTCTACAAAGGTAACTTGAACATTTAAAAGTGTTTTGGGCTTTGATTTCATCCAGAATTTCACAGCAGGTTTTTTCTGGTTGTTGCTATTCAAGATGGGCTCTCACTGTTGTCTAGGCTAGATTTGAACTCCTGGCCTCCGGTGACCCTGCTGCCTGGGCCTTCAGAGTAGCTGAGACCACCACTGTACCTGACTTCACATCTATCTCAACAGTTTTAATATTAGTTGTAGGGTATATAAAATCAAATATAAGCCAAAAGGTAGTTTGTTTTATCCTTTTGCTCACAAGTTTGTTAACTGAGGTTTGATTTCTGTTGTACTTCATATGTTAAGTTGGTACTGTCTGCCTTCTGCAAGTGTGACCTCAGCTGATCCTTCCCATACATTCACTGCTCCCTGTGCTCCATGTCCTCTGGCACAGATCTTGCCGTTTCATTAGCCTCATTGGACTGGAAGTCCAGCAGTGTCTGAATAAAGGGCTTACTCAATAAATCACCAGGAGTGTTTTCACTTATTCCCAGTGGAAATGTTCAGGCTGATTAGCAGGCTGAGTGGTTTGATCTCTTCATGACCTCGTTTGCAGTCTGGGCCACAGATTTCCCTGTCAGTTCAAAGGCTATGCGCCTTAAGTGTAAAGGGAGGGAATGGTTCTTGGACAAGAGTGTGAGAACCACCGTGCAGAGCCTGTGATAATGGGAAAGAAATGCGGCCTTTCAGGCCCATTGTCCAAAGAAAACATAATCAGTAATGCTCACAACTGAATAGCTGTGGCCCAGCAGAAAGTTTCCGAAGTTGTGTATACTGATTCACATGCAGCACAGGACTCCAGCTTTAATTTCATCTTGTTCAGACTTGTACTTAATAAATGTATTCACAGTCTGCTGTTCTTAGAATTGAAGTCTTTTTCCCCCCTCACAGCTGCCTTAGCCTGTGAAGAAAAAGGCTCAGAAGGCCAGTGTGAAGTTAATATAATCATTTAGTTTCCTCATTCGTACATGGGAACGGCCTCTCAATGGCTAGACACAATTCTAACGCTAGTATGCATAGCTCCATGCTTTTTGCACAGTAATTACAAAAATAGTACAATAAAGGGGATGGGAAAATGTCTCAGTGGGTAAGAGCACTGGTCCACAGCCTGACAACCTGAGTTTCATCCTCAAAACCCACACAAAGAGCCATATGTGGGAGTGTGCATCTTTTATCTCAGAGTAAGTAGAGACAGAATTGGCCAGAAGCTTACAGCGCAACTGTGAACATGCAGTGTAGCAACAGAAACAAGAGACCCTGCCTCAGCAAGCTGGAAGGCAGGAACTAACTCCCAAAGTCCACGGCTTCCACAAACATGCCATGGCACGCACGTACCCACACTCACACACAAAAGCTCAAGGGCTGCCAAGATGGTTTGGTGGGTAAAATGTTTCTGCCAAGCCTGATGATCTGAGTATGATCTCCTGAACCTACATGTTAGAAGGAGAGAGCCAGCTGCTTCAAGTTGTCCTCCACCCTCATGCCATGCCACATCCACAGAAATAAAAAGAATAAGTATAAATTTGAAAGTACAATAAAAGCTTATTTGAACAAATTGTATTTTCTGAGTATGCATATTTTGCCTTATAGTGTGAGGTTCCCTGCCACATCCCACCCGCAACAGGTTTTGTCTGTATAAAACTGGCTGTCGTCCTGAGAGATCTACCAGCCTCTTTCTCCCCAGAGCTGGGATTAAAGGCAGACACCACCATGCCCAGTGATGTGAAATCTGTCTTTAATACTGCATTTCTATAGCTTTTCCTGTCTATTAAAGTCACTGTTGGAAAGACGTGGTGGTGCACACCTTTAACCCCAGCACTTGGGAGACAGAGGCAGGTGGATCTCTGTGAGTTTGAAGCTGGCCTGGTCCACAGAGTGAGTTCTAGAACAATTGGGGCTGTTACTTAGAAAAACAGCAACAACAACAACAAAAAAGTCACCGTTGAAAGAGACTATATACATTCATTCATTAATTCTGAGGATCCTGGACATCCAGGTTACAGTTATCCCTGAGCTAACATTCTAGACAGGGAGACATCCTCAAGTAACAGAGCAGTAAGAACTACTGTTGAGATGGGAGAAGCATGGCATATGCTGGGAAAAGGAGATGCCAGGACACACCCTTATGGTTTCCTGCCTGCTGAAACGCCTCATAACTGTCTGACCTTTATTAAAACCATGACTGCAGATCTGGAGAGGGGGCTCAGCCTTTAAGAGCATGGGGTGCTCTCCTAGAGGACAGAGGTTCAGATCCCAGCACCCATTTGTTGCCTTAGAGCTACCTGTAACGTGAGTTCCAAGGAATATAATGCCTTCTTTTGACCTCCATGGGGACCAGGTCGTGGTACACAGATACACATGCAGGCAAAATACCCATACACATAAAATAAAAGTAAATTTTCAAAATGGTTGCATTATAAAAAAAATTGACTCATTCACCAAGGATAGGAGTGGAGGGGAACCTAGTTAGGAAAAAGCCTAGATCATTGATAAGCAACAGTATTGAATCCACTTACATACACTTCTAAAGACAGCACTGAGCCAGTTCAGTTGGTAATGCGCTATATCCAGTGCTCAGGGCCAGATGGGAAGGTCCCTGAGGCTTGCTGGCCTATCCTGATTAGCAAGGTCTCTCTGAGAGACCCTGTCTTAGAAACATATCTGCACACATTTGTACACACACCATACATGCACACAAAGTGAGAGTTGGAGGAAGGGTGACAAGAATGTGTCACCTGCCTGACCCATAAACTGTTCAGATCTTTTGTGTCTCTTACCCAATCCTGGCTTTGGCTGTTAACATCACAGTCCTAGTCTTTCATGGTGAGGACACCACATGTGCAAGATAGTCCACACTCTGACCACACTCTACTGTGCCTAGTAAGCTACCTTGTCGGGTCTTACATAAAAATGAAGGCTAGGGAGACAACGGCCCAGCAGTCATGAGCACATACTGCTCTTGCGGAAGACTTCCGTTCAGTTCCTATTGGGCAGCTCCCACCTTTGTCTGCAGGGCAGTCCAACACCTCTTTCCTCCATGGTACCTCACTACATACACTCCCACTCAGGCTGTCACAGATACACATGATTAAAAAAATAATAAGTCTTGCAGAAAAAAAAGAAAGCATTGAACTAAAAGGTGCCAGTGATGGTTTTACTTTGAATTCTTTCTCACTGGTCTGCCTTCTTGTTTTTTGTTTGGTTGGTTTTTGTTAGTTTTTTTGGTTTGTTTTTTTTTTTTTTTTTTTTTTTCTTGGTCAAGAATTTACTTGTACCTCCCAGCCCACCCCCCAAAAAAGAACACCAGGTTCTTCACAGCGAGAATTGTCCAGCTGTACCAAGACATATAACGCATGCTTACTTCAGTCCACAGCGGAACAGCCACAGAGTGCAGAACCCACAGTAACTTTCTTTTTTGGTGTTTGTTTTATCTTGCAGATATCTCTACAGGACCTTCTTGGTTAAATCAGGGACTACTTTTGAACTCTACCCAATCAGTTTCAAATTTAGACCTGACCACTAGTGCCACCGTACCCCAATCAAGGTATGTATTGCTTTCAAGGTAAGAAAAGCAAGCCACAGGGACCTGGCTCTGCTGTGGAGAGCCAAGGTTATGTTGCTGCTGCAGCAGGTGGGTCAGGTTTGTAGCAGATCTCCGCCTTTCAGTTTTTATTCCTGTCTGCAAAAAGAAATGCCTGCACTGCATTAATGAACCTGTATGTTTTTAATTTACTCGCTAGTGTAAACCAAGGGTTATGCTTGGACGCTGAAGTGGCCTTAGCGACTGGGCAGTTCCCTGCCCCAGACAGTCACCAGTCCAGTAGTGCGGCATCTCACTGCTCTGAGTCCCGCGGCGAGACCCCTTGTTCATTCAACGATGAAGACGAGGAAGATGAGGAGGAAGATTCCTCCTCCCCAGAATAAAGACAGGAAAAAACTCATGTTTTAACATTTGATGCCCATGTGTGTCTTTAGTGTGAGCTCTTGTGTTTGAAACGATTGCTTCAGTCTTTGCCTTTGTTTGCATTTGTGTTTAGTGAAAACTAGAGAAACACAATAAGCAAATTACATGAAGGCTGAGATGATTGAAATGAAAGTTAACGTAGCGTGAATGAAAACTGAGCAACAGAGCAGTAGGTTACATCGCCAACAAAGCATGCTTTCTGAAGAGGGGGAGTAATCCATGAAGAACAGCAGTAATGAAGTTTGTTTTCAGGGAGGAGGGTTTTGAAGACCCCACAATGTGAGCATTTAGACTTGAGATCGCTGCAAGGAGCAGTATGCAGCGATGATGTTTTTCTCCCTTGCTGGGCTGTCTTTTATAGACAAAAGTGAACTTGAAAGTCCCAGTGGGTGTACAGTGAGGGATGAAGATTGCAGGCTTTGTGGCCTGAGGCGCACAGATGAACTGCTGAGCTAGCTGGAAGTCTAGCTGAGGTGCTTCGCGCGTCTGCTGCCTTAGCTTCTAGAAGGGAGCAAGCGCTACCTTATAAGTACCTAGGTGACATTTAGAATAATTTACAGTAAACTGAAGTGACCATTTGTCAATGCATTGGTGCATAGGAGTTTTTAGGGCTGCTTCTGGAAGCCAAAGTAGAATAGCATTTCCATGCATTAAAAACTTCGCCAGCACTGCCTTCTGCCAGCATTCTAGACTTGGAGTTTCACTGAGAAGGAAACTGTATTTATAGTTTTAATCAAAGCTATGCATTTCATATAGCTTTTTAATTTACAGTGAAACAAAGAAGCAAATTCTTTGACCAAATTGCTTGTTTATAGCTGTCTGCAGTACTGTATGATTTTACCCATGTGCAATTTGTTAAAATGAACCAAATGTCATTACTTTTGTCTTTACTTCAAGAATATGAACATCATTGTTCTCTTGTACATGTTATCGTTTTCATATTTTAATTATCAAAATGACCTTATCAGATTTATTCCTGGGTAAATTGCATTTCAAACTAATTCAATATTCAGTGTTTTTGTTAAAACCTTGAGCACTCCAGTTGGCTGCATCTGTGCTAGTGTGGTATGTCACTTGTGGATACAAAGCCAAAGTTGCCATGAGACTACAGCAGTGTGTCTGATTTCTGCTCCTCTCAGTAGGGGAGCATGGCACATCTACTGCCAAGCCAAATCCAGCTTAACACATTAAGGCCTTGAAAGGGAGCATCGAATAGAATCAATTCTGAAACCAGCTAAGTCACATGTATTTGTCCTGATCCTGTGTATCTGGCTTCTGTGGGTCCTGCACCAAGCTCAGTTCAAAATGCTGTTCTTTTTAGTCCTATGGGGGACACTTGAGCTGGAAGCAAAAAGCTTTGGTTGGCTTAAATGTTGTGAGGCCATTAACAGTGATAGATATATATGAATGTGCAGATACAGCTTGGGCTCCTTTGAGAGGAAACTCATTGTATCAGAAGGGAGCTATAGTGAAGCCTGAGTGCTCAAGGGGCACAAAGGTCTCAGAGAGTTTCGTGTTGGCATGAGTTCTAGAACACACATCTTAGGCTGTTAGAGCAAAGTGGTCCACAATGCAACAGGAGCTACCTCCTGTTAGTGCTACATTTCTGTCTCTGTACTTAAGGAAACCTAGCAGAGACCTGGAGAGGTCAAGGGCAACAGTTGCTTGTTTAGTTTTCAAAATATTGACCTACTACTGGTCCTAAGATGTTTCAGAACTTAAAGCAAATGCATGAATCACATCAATTTCTTTTACCAGGCAGCTAAATCCTTGCCAGAGTTCTCAAGGAACATTTCCCCCTTATCCCTGCTGCTGTATGCTTTACATTGACAAATCTGGACTTGAAAGGGGAAATCACACTAGGCATGTTGTATGCCTCCAACCCCAGCATTTGGGAAATGGAGGCAGGAAGGTTGGGACTTATAAGTCAACCTTGGCTACATACTGAGTTCATGGCCAGCCTAGGCTTCATGAGATCCTTGTCTGAGATGGGGCACACAAAGACTGGGTCTAGCCATCCTAGCTACCACTGTGTCATGCTGTCAAGAGTAGCCCTGCTCCCCTGTGATACACTGCTGAGGACATGTAAAATAGTACCACTGTGGTCATCTTGTGCTGCTGGTGTAACAGCGAACCAAGAGGATTACCAGATGTTTGAAACCAGCCGCGGCTACAAAATGAGACCATGCTAAAGGAAAGGAAAAAATGAAGAGCCTAAATTGAGATATTGCAAAGGATGAACTCTGGTCTTCTTTATTTCCCTTAAACATATCCACCCGGGTCCAACAACACCAAATCATAATGCAGGAATCAAAACGAGGGGGGAAAGGTTAAATTGTGGCCATAGCATCTGGCTTCTTTGTAGGAGGAGTATACAGGTTCCTTGCACACAGCTGTTACCTCCCCAAAGGTGCTGGGCACCCCTCGGTTCTCCTGACCACATGGGCAGCTAGCTGGCTCTGTTGGAAGGACAGTTCCGTTGGTGCTTAGCGGGCTCCCTTCACCTGTCCCCCACTGGAAGTCTGTTCGGAGTTTGCATTTATTGTGCCTTACATAGAAATAAAGGGATGGAACTGTTAAAAGTCCCCCAGAAAACAGGCTGCTAGCCACATGTTCTGCATCTTTCTTCATTCTTTTAAAGAAGTACGAGGGAGGAGAATCTGCCATTTTGCCAGAATGAAATAGGAACTCCTTTTAGCAAAATATAATCAAAGCTGTAGCAGTATCAATTGATTATTTTTGGAAGATAATTCCCAGTCTATCCCCAGAAAAAAATAGCCCTGTCAGGCAGTCCAGAAGCAATGGCCCACTGTGTACCTGCAAGTTTCCTCATTCTGCTCCTTCTGTCTAAACCAACTTCTTATCAGAAGTGTCAGAGCTGTTCCAGGCACAACATGATTTACGCCCTGAACAGAGTGTGTGCGTGTGACAGGCAAACAGAGTAGGCAGATGACAGGAGTGGCCTCAGCTGCTTGTGCTGTAACCACACAGAACAAGAAGACTGCTCCATTGTACAAGCTCACTTCCCAACAAAATGGCTGTTCTTATTCACTGAATCTGCTACATAAGGCTTTGAAATTCTCTTCCTTCGTGGTAAGCACGGGGCAGGGTTTGTCTTGGGAGTGGGTATTAAAATACCAAACTTAGCTGGCTTTGCCTGCATTACAAGCCAAGTGAGGACTGCAGCAAACCCATAGAATTCTTGGCCTCATTACCTTGAACTACAACACAGGCCAGTGATCTGAGATGGAGAGTTTGCATATGTTCTCTAAGTTGCTAATACATAGATGTAGCCTGTGGTGAACATGTGGAATAGGACCCTCATGCTGCATATGGGCTAGCTTGGGTGAAATAGTCTATAAACCTAGGAACCAGCCTCCCAGTGGGGCTCTCTGTTTTTCTACACCTTGAACAATTGCCTCCAAGCACTGATGCTTATTAATACATAGTTTTTGAAGACTACTGTGCCTGCCAGGATCCTACAGCACATCACCTGAATGATCCACAGAATGTGCCTGCCAGTTCATTCAGTTCACCTACGTTCTGTTAACCTATACTTGAGCCAAACATTGTCACTCAAAGGGGGGAGCCTAATATGGTGAATCTTCCTTTATAACTATAACAAGCCTCAGGAAGTGGACTCTTACATATTAGCAAAATACCTGAAGTTTCAGTTAGTTTGTAGGTTCCAGTTTTCCTACATACATCTGTGTTCACAATATGCTAAGGGGGGGTGGGGAATTAAAGCAGAAAACTTTGGCCTGTCATGTTTCCTGGGAGTCCTTGATGGGTATAAGCACTGGCCTGATAGGTAGCCACCCCTCAAAGTGTCAGGCTGTCATCCTGTCTGTACATATGTCAGTTCTGTATAGTTCTTTCAGATAAGGAAGAGCTTGGGTTACTCCTTCTTATATAGTAAAAAAAGAAAGCCAGTGCCTTGGCCCGTTGTCACCCTAGCAGAGTGGATCCTGGTCCTCACTGCTTAGAAAGCGACTTTAGAAACCATTGAAGCCAGCGGGAAGTCGGGGTTTGTGTCTTCTCCACTAGTATCTCAGGAAGGGAGAGAACATCTCTTAGGACCCGCTCGCTCAGAGATGGAAGTATGCAGAGCTTCGGGGCCCAGCGTTCCTTAGGCTCAATAGCAGTCTGCCCCCATTTACCACTCCCCTCGGGACACCCTCGCCTACTATAAAGCACACCTTCACCATGGGCCATCCAGACAGCGCCAGTCTTGACAAGTGCCAAAAACCCCCCGAGGAACCCAAGGGATCTCGTCTCCCAAGCCCTGTCGTGTGCTGTCAACTTTGGGCCTCTCAGGACTCCAGGTACAGATGGTCACAGTCACAAGGGACCCTCCCTAGGCCAAGGCCTTTCATTCTGGACATCCATGGGGGCTTGAGAGGTGAAGTTGCCATCTGGGCCATAGTGGCTTGTTTCCAACCAAATTATTTGGACTTCAGAGCTATTACTTTGCCATGCTTGACTTCAAAGTCAAGTTTTATTCCTAAGTGTGCTAGTTTTGCATATTCAGACTCCTCTGTTTTGTTTTTCATACTTAATTATCTCCAGTGATCTAGCAGCTTCTCTGCAGGTTATGTTTTTTTCCCACTAGTAGTAAGACAACATTCTGAGAAGTGGGACCAGTCCTCCACCCGCTTTGCTTGTTCAGGAGGTCTGAGTTCTGGCGACCCCCGTTAGTCTATGGCGTGCCTGAGTCATATGGGGCACATTTGTCCTGCCACACTTTATCTGGACGGAAGGGATAAGGTTGTTAGCCTAGATCACCAAGGGACTCTCTTTCCATTTGGAGACTTGCTCTGCTCATTTGCTGCTAGCTGCTGTCTCCAGAAATGTGTAACTTTGCTCTTTTTCTGCATGAAGCATAGCTGGTGTCACGCCCTGAATAATTTAAACAAGGAAGGAGGAACATGTAAACCACATCTCGACTGCCTCTTAAGAGATTTTTGTTCCTAGGTTGAGTACACAGGCTAATATATTATTTTGTAGTATCTCAAACTTTGCATAAATACTATTATTTTTGTATGGAATTTTTTATAGAAGAGCTATTTCTGTATACTTATTTCTGTGTTTTTTGAAATGCCTTCCAGTAGGTAACCAACAAGTCTTAAACAGTGTCCCACTATGGGTGGCGTAGGGACCACCTACCCAGAAGAGACAGGGAATTTAAATTCTTTTTACTCCCTGCACCCACTCCAGATAGCTCAGGGTGTACTTAGGAAGTGTTAGTTTTAATAAGCTCTGAGTGATTTCTTTTCATCAATTCACACATCTTTGTTCATACTGTAAAAGAAGATAACATCTGAAATGAATATGTTGAGCTTGAGAAAAATTGTATCGTACTATTCTGTGATTTGAGATACAGAAAAATAAACAAGTAATTTAAAATAATGTTGGTGTCATCATTAATGGCTCCAGGGGGGAGTGAATCCTGGCCTCACACTATTCAGGACTGAAACCCTCATTGAGCCAATAAGGAGGCACAGGCCACTCTCCTTTGCCCCAGTTCTGGGTCTCTGAAGGCTCCAGCATCAATTTCTCAATGGGACTGGCTGAGCCCTCTGGCAGCAGCATCATTCAGGCCATTCAGTTTCCACCTCAGCTTCAGGGGCTCCCAGGGGCTCCCAGGGTACTCAAGGTGCATAGCACCTATACCACCAGGGAAGAGTTCCGTCAGCTTAGAAAAAAGCAGCAAACAGTGGTGTGCCCAGGCCTCAAGCACAGTTCTTTGGCCCTAGGGACTACCTCCGAATCTCTTCTAAGCAGTACACACCTTTCAGGGAAGGTGATAGCCAGGCAATTTGTATCATAAGTTGCACACAGGGACGGAAGGTGGGGCAATTAAAGGATTATAGCATGCCAGCAGGGGCTGGAGAGATCCTGGATTAAAGAGCACAGGCTGGGTTGGGCAGTGGTGACACACCTTTAATCCCAGTGTTTGGGAGGCAGAGGCAGGTGGATCTCTGTGAGTTCAAGGCCAGCC